TAATTTTATATGTTTTTTATTATAATTTCATATATAAAAAATTTACATGTAAAATAGTGTGACAAATCATGTGACTGTTATATACGATAATTACCTATTTCCAATATCAGGTTCCCATAACCAAGGATCACTTTGTCTAATATAAAAATTAAAATATGAAATTTTGTAATGTATTCTGTAGATTTAGACAAGCATAATAGTTTTACTAAAATAATTTTGTAAACTCATATTACTCCCATTCACAGATGGAATAAAAAATAGTCTTATTAGTGCCTTTAGTTGCATCCTTAAGTGCTTTTCCCATTTTCTAAATACCAATAATAATAAGTATTAATATTCAATTAAAGCTTGAATACTTTATAACTTACTTGATAACGTTCTTGTTCAGGTCTTCCTTGACTGAAGCAATTATCATACTTTAAATAATCAACACCCCATTCTACGAATATTTTTGCATCTATTTCTTTGTGGTCTATAATATACTTGTTTAATTACGTGTTTTGAAACATTTAACTTGAATGCCAAATAAAATCTAATAATTACCAAGTGATCCGGGAGACCACCACAAGTTTCATTTCCGGCATCTGAATAAATTCCAAAAAGTAAGCCTTTGCTATGTATATATTCTGCAAGATCTTAAAAACAGAGCATATAGCCCAAGTTAATCATTAATTTAATATATTGATTTTGATTGGTGGCAAATGTTCTCATCATAACAATAACTTATATATATTAAGGAAAGTAATGGCCAAAATATATATAATACTTTTTATTCCAAGGGGAAACCTTACAAAAATTAGTTTATAGATTTAATATTCTCGCCAAATTTATTTTTAACAAACATTTTATAGTTATTGCATGTGTATGTAGTGAATAACCCAGTTACAGGGTTGGCATAAATGGAATTCGGACAATGGAAATCTGTTCGATGTCTAGTGTCCAAATTGTCTTATCAAAGCAATGGACATTGGACGGGTTATAGATCGATTAGAAGAAATTGAATTACTTCATACAGTATTAGCGTTAGCATTAGGAAACAAATCTACGAAGACCAGTATGATTGTTATAGGTGAGCAGATTCTTATAGTACATTAAAATCCGTACATACGTACGTATTAGCGTTGGAGTTAGGAATTACAGCTAAACAGTATAATATGAATTTAAAATCGGGCTGTTATACCATACTGATTTGCTATAATTCTAAGTTATATTAGTTGATTGGTAATTAGTATTTGGCGCATCACTGGACATTGGAAAACTGTCCAAATTACCCTATGCAATATTATTCAATCCCAACTGTAACTGCGCTACATCGGACACTGGATACCACATAGTACAATTTGGAAATGTCTAATGTTCGGTAAAAAAACACAGATATATGACTTGCCCAACCGTGCCCAGTTACACACGAGTTCATATTCCGTCCAAAGACACAGGATTTAAATATAAACCCGTGTGTATAACTGGTTATTCAATATACCATACCATACAATAACTATCTTATTGCACGGTTTCTGACGTAACAATCCCGTGTCAATAAGTAAATGAAAGAGCACAGGTTGTCACATAAGACCCGTGCAATAAATTTGTATATAGCACGAACTTGTCTGTGTTAAAAGTTAGTGTTCCATTAGCTGTTCTATTAGATGCTTGCCAGCTATCATCTATAAATATTATATATACGATATTATTAGATGACATACTTAATATATTATTATTGAATTAATTAATTTTACCAAGATTTATATATCTAAATCCAACATCCAAATAGCCTATAGTAGCTATTATATCCGCTTGTTGCTTAATTATTGTTTCATTGTATGCGAAAGTAAACTTTAAATATTTAAACAAACCGTTAGTTAAGCATATTAATGATAATTATTATGAAATCATATTATACTTACGAAATTATATGGATTCCATCCCATAGGTGGTGATTTAAAACCATATCCATTCTGACATATAGTAAATCTTGTAAAGGTAATAATAATTTTTTTTTAAATATATAAATGATAATGAATAATTATCAATCAATATATAAACCAATTTTAAATGTCGTATTTATATCTTTATATTTTTTAACGGAGATAAAATTTCTATTCGTGCAAATTATACTAATCATCACATTAAATTTATGTATCTTCGATTGATCTAGTACGATTTACCCAACACTATTCACAATACTACTGATTAGTGCACCGAATCGGCTCAAGGCAACCCGAAACCTGTCCCGAAATTTCGGGTCGGTTAGAAATTTTTGACCCGAAAGTTTCGGGTTGGGGTCGGGTTGAGCATTAACCCGACCCGAAATTTTTTATTTAGTTTAGTCTTTTTTTCATTAGAATTGCATTCTTGGTTAACTTAATGATTGATATGTATAATTGATTATATCATCCATTTATCCGATATGCTTTATCCGGATATCCGTTTTTTAACACGGATTAACCGAATCATCGACCAGGATTACAAGATTTGGTACCATTCGATTCATCTCATCGAGACGAATCGAATGATACCAAAATCATGTGATTCTGATCGATAATTTAATTTTTAAGAATTTTCGATCTGCATTTTGAACCTGCCAAACCAAAATATGTATATTTCTTCTATCTTTTAAAGTAATAAAATCTATTGAATTTTTTTATTTTGTAAAGGTTTTTAAATTATTAAATAGTCCTTTAAATGATCATTATGTTGGTAGTATCCTCTTCACAATGGATACGCATTTGGCAGGTCATACTCATCCGTGTCAGTAATGTCCAGTAATGTTTTATAAATTGTGAATAAACGTCTTTAAAAGGTCTTCCGGGAGGTGTATTTCTTTACCATACATTTAAAATTGGTCTTATATTAAAATTCAACTCATATGGTAAATCCTACTAGTAGTTAGACACATCAAAATATCTGTACTTAAATGTTAAGGTAACTCGATATGTCGTAATTCGGAATAGAATTCTGGGTCATATTAGGTCAGAATTGATAAATTTTGCCAATATCAAGTAACCCACGTTATAGGTAAAATTGCCCAAATGTTAATTTTGATATAATATAGTTAGTTGTTATTATTGTTTAATATTGACCTACTCCGATGATTTCTGACCTAAGCTTAGCCGGTCTACTGAATTTTGGTTGCGCTTTGTAAATCGCATGATCACATTACATTAGGATATTTGCTAACATGGGGCTATGATTCTTCCGATGAGTGAATTAAGATCCCATATGTAACTAACGATGATATTGATAAGTAAAATGATGAACGAATGATATAATATGTAATGTATAGTATGAGATAAAATAGAATAGCTGATTTGGAATAAAAATAAAATGAAAAAAAAAAAGTAACACGTTGAGATAAAAAAAACGTTAAATGTATGAAAATAAGTTTCAGACTATCAAGTTTATCATTTATTATCAAATGCTCATGAAAAATCGGATTAGTGATATATTATGTATAGATGTTACGATCAGGTTTTTAAAAGCCTAATCTGGTAAATAATAATTATAAAATTGAAAGCTCAAAGTATATTTTCTTCTCTCATTTATGATAGTTCATTAATCGGAAATGACAATTATAGCATTATTTTTTTAATTTTTTATCCGAATTATTATACTAGAAATATTCGAAAAATATTCAGAAAATATTCCAGTTTATTAACTAAATTATACTCCAGAAACATTCCTGTTTTTCGAAAATATTCCGAAAATAATCAGATACTAATCATATTTTACTCCTAATATATGAGCATTTTCGGAGTGTTATATGTATTTTATACTCCAAAACTATTCCGATTATTCATGATTAGTTTAGGGAAATAAATTACTAATAATCGGATTACTTCATGATTATATTTACCATATTGTCATGAAATAACGCCCACCTGTGCGTTATTTTGATTATATGTGCATTAATTAGAGTATGCGCATGTGCATTATTTTGAAACAAAGGTTGATTTTTTGATTAAACTGATGTTCCAAATAATGTCCATGTGTGTTATATATAATTTATTTCATATGGGGTGCACATTATTTAGGGACGCGCATGGGCATTATTTTGAGACATCACATACTATTTTAGGGGAGCACGATTTTCTAATTAATGCCCATGCCCTTATTTTGCGACAATACAGTATAAATAAACCAAGATATATCTTGATAATAATTAAATTGTATCATGATTATTTTCTGAATAAAATATGAATATATTTATTAATAATTGGATTACTTCATGATTATATTTATAAATAAACTGGAATATATCTTGATAATAACTAAATTGTATTATGATTATTTTCTGAATAAAGCATTAATATATTTATTAATAATCAGATTACTTCATGATTATATTTATAAATAAACTAGAATATATCTTGATAATAACTAAATTGTACCATGATTATTTTCTAAATAAAACATGAATATATTTATTAATAATCAGGTTAATTCATGATTATATTTCCAAATAAACTGGAATATATTTTGATAATAATTAAATTGTATCATGATTATTTTCTGAATAAAACATAAATATATTTATTTTTTATTTTTTATTTTTTTTTTTTTTTTTTTTAACAAATTCGGCAGTCTTGCCTTCACTTTATTAGGCTTTGTAATAATTTTCTAAACT